TTATTTGGAAGAAACAGGCGCTTTCATGGCCGCAGTGGAAGCAGAAGTCAAAGCCCTCCAAGGAATCGTAATCATGAGGAGCGTTCACATTCTGGTCGTAGTTCTGATAGAAGAGATTATGACAGACATCATGGACACAGTGGTAGGGGCAGGTTGCCTAGAAGCCGTAGTCCTCAACGGAAAGGAAGAAGTAGAAGTCCAGCGGGAAGGGATAGGTCAGTCAGAGAAAGCAGTGAAGAAAGGAGAGCCAAAATAGAGCAGTGGAACCGGGAGAAGGAACTGGCAGACTCTGGCAACAAGAACAAGAACAAGAACAATACCGATGGCAATGATTATAAAGAATAGGATGATGCACAAAATGGAAGCGAACGCCAGAATATGACAGTTGTTGCATTGTCACTTGTGACCCGTAAAGAAGAAAAACCCTGTAGTGTGGTAAGTGATTTGCTTTGTCTAGTTTGCACCTACTAAGTTGGTATTTAGTTGCTACCATCTTATTGTCATATTCTGAACTACTGTTGTTTAGTTATAGAACATTGTAGTATCGATACCGATAACAGATTAATTTTGCTACTTCAAGTGATATATTTCCTGCACCATGGAGGGAGAAAATAGAGAGAGAGGAGTAGAAGTGGGGTTAAGTTTAGAAAGGATTGATCTTTTTGTGGGGGGTGATGAAGTGGTAGAAAGTTTGGTTTTGGTTTGGGTGTTTCACATCTTATAAACAAGTAGAAGAAGGGATTTTAGGAAAATGATTATCCTCCTTTTAAATCCTCATATTAATCCTCGTACCCATAAGAAAATGACATATTTCACTTGTAAACCAATCACTAATGAATAAAGTATTACTTTGTGACATATGTCGCTTTTTTATGGGTAGGAGGATTAGTAGGAGGATTTAGTACGAGGATATAGCATTAGTCGAGATTTTGTGGAAAAGAGAGGAAATGGTGCGTGTATATTGATTATATACTAGGCATGCATATATTTCAGCTTAGAATTTTATGATACCTCTTTGTTGAACTTTTAAGAAGTTGGTTTTATTAACAGCTGGTTTAATTATTCAATGAATTTTTATGCAAAGCCAATGATTTTTTTTAATCTTTATTGTATTAAATGTTTTTTTATCTTTATTTATTGGCTGGAGTTTTGGATGAAATTCAACTAAATATGCAATTTGGGATTCCTTGCTATGATGAAGAAAAGTGCATATGGGCATTCTTTTCCTCTTTGGATTTGCACATTTTTTAACCACTTTAACCTCTAGTAGAATATTTTAATTTTTTATTCGTCCATTTTATTATTTAATTACAGTGGTTAAAATATGATAAGATGATTCAAGTTGCTTTCATTTGTGATAAAGAGTTCTTAGAGTTTAGTTTTGAAAGGAAAGAATAGATGGAAAAAGTTTAAGTTATTGAGATAATTTTAAAGCCTTAATTTTTTATTTATTCTCTTTTAAAACTTAACTCGTAAATAGATTCTAGGTGGACCCCGGAGGACCTGGATGTAAAGGCATGGTAGGGACGATATCATTCTGGCTGGTGTTGTAGTTTACTTATATTGTTATTCAACTTAGTTTAATGTCGTTTTAGCCATGAAAATATCTTAGTTTCATACATTATCACGAGATTAAGATTAGATGTCATTCAATTTTCAAAATTAAAATGGAAAATAAAAAATTAAATCTTAGATAGAAAGTCTTTGAAAAAAAAGATACAAAAATAAGGATTTCCATATTTTGAGTTGATTTTTTTTTTATTTTTTTAACCGATTGATCATTCCTGTTTAGAATGTATCGAAAACATTTCTTATTGAAATTTTGTTGAATTTAATATGACATATTTGATTAAAAAAAGCAGTATATAGCAACACAAATTTGATTTTTAATAGAACTTAGAAGTTTGGATAATTTACGGAAGACTGTTTTTTATTATTCTAAATTTTATTATACTTTTCCAATTCACCCTTTTGAATTAACTATTAAATAATTTCATTAATTTATCAAATAAATACCATATCATTTTTTGTAATCTTTTAGGTAAGTACGTTTTCCAGAGTCAATTCATTTGAGACTTGACATCCATAGTTAGGTTATTAATATACCATTATGAAAATTCAATGTTTGTGTTGGACTCTCCATAGTCACATTTTCAACTATAAAAGTTGATGGGGATTATCGGTTACATATCTACCCACAACCGGTGTAAAATTTTACATATTCATTATATTATTCATCATTCATTTATATTATTTTAAAAAAAGTTAATGACGATTTAATATGGATGACGAAAGATGCACTGCCATGTTTACAACTGTCAGTAAGTACATTTTATTTCTCTCAGTTTTGCTATGTCAATTGCTTTCCTTTCATGATGAAAATGTAGATTAATTTGTAAGATTGGCCCTTCCGTAACTTTTATTGTTCTCTCTCTTTCTAGTGTTCTAAACTTTCTATTTCATGATAAAATTGCTGGTTAATTTATAAGATTAGCTTTGATTTTTCACTTTTTTCCTCCATTTTTCTCCCATTCATAAAGTTCTTCCTAATGAATGTTTTTTAGTGGGTATGTGATCGGAGAGTCTCCAAAGAGCATGATGGAGACAACAAGTCTTGAACCATAATATTAAAGAAATGGTTACATGAGTTTTTTTACTTATAAAGTCTTTTATTTGTTACCTCATATCTAATGTGAGTTCACACTTGAACATAACTACCAATCTCTCCCGTCAAGTACCACACATTTAGCGGTTTACTCCCCTTGAGTCCTCCATGTCTCCGTCAAATAATCGACCATGATAATACTTGTGAGACTCGATTGCAATCGAGGAGCTTTAAACCACTTAGTCCCATTGTTATTAGACATAAGAAAAGTGAAGATACACAAGTGAAACATAAAGTCTTAAACCAAAACCTCACAATGAATTCATATATATTTTCCACTTATAAAGTCTTTCATTTATCTCCTATATTTAATGTAAGTCTTCTACCTATTTTATCAAGCGATCAAATAGTAAAGATAAGAGAAAGATAATAAAAACATTAACAATGTTCAATTAATCGTACCTGAGTCCCATAAATATTGAATGACTACTACTAACCCGTATTATTAAGATTAGAATAATCAACTATACCCAACACTTAGGATATACAATATATATTGGGTGCTGGTACAATACATAACTCAAGTTTTATGGGGTGATTCTAACTAAGAAAAGTTGTAACAAAAAACCCAACCTATGATCTTAGGAAAATGATATATCCTCCTACTAATCATCTTACCCACAACAAAGTAATATATGTTACAAGTGACATATGTCACTTTTTTGTGGATAGAAATATTAGTAAAAGAATTTAGTAGGATGATATAGCATTACTTATAATCTTAAACCCCACCCTTCATTTCAATACTAAAAAAATATGGAGTTGTTACAATAATTTACTTCATGCATTTCCAATAGTTTTCTTTACTCAGCCTTTTTTCTCATCCCTTTAATTTGGTTGAATTGTTGCAAATTCTAACCACTATATCAACCGTTGCAATTAGGATTTGTAGGTTGAAATGATTGATGAAAAAACCCATCAAGCAGTTCCTTTATTCTTCAATCATGTTTTGTTATTCATGTCTATAGTTTATTTTTGTATCATTTAGTTGGGTTATTTGAGTCATTGTTGTTTTGCATAGAAGTTAATTTTGCCAATTAATTAATTTATTATACTAAAGGCTTTTTAGTAATGTGTCTGACATACCCATGTGTTTGAGTACAGGGAAAGATACAGCAGTTCACGGGTGTTAACACAGGGAAAAAAAAAGGAATATATCCCATAATTTTTCTGTCTCCATATCCCTAACCAATGAAATTTTATAAAATAATATTAAAATATTAATCTCTGATTTTATTATTTTTTTAGTTGAACAAAATTTTCTGATTGGTTTGGTACACAAAGTGGGACATCAATGAGTGTATAATTTTTATGCATGATTAATGAATGAGAGATATTCATTTACTCTAAGAGTGAGTGAAAAAACTTTCTCCACATCATAATCATTTATTCTTGGAAAATATAATGGTTTCAATACATTGAGTGTATAATTTTTATGCATGATTAATGAATGAGAGAGATTCATTTACTCTAAGAGTAAGTGAAAAAACTTCATCCACATCATAGTCATTTATTGTTGGAAAATATAATGGTTTCAATTAGTGGGTATATTTAAACCATTAGATTTTCCAAGAATAAATGATTAAGATGTAGAGTATGTTTTTTCACTTACTCTTTGAGTAAATGGATCTCATCCTTACTGAATATTACATTCTTCTAAACAATGTTATTAATACCGCATCGGTCATCAAATCAGTATGGGTACTGGTACAGATATAGTAGTTCAACCGGTGGTTCAGTAATTAAATTGCATACCGGTAAAGTTAGATATACATATATAATATATTAACATTAATGTTGAAAAATCAATAAAAAAACAATAATTATTTTTATTTTCATTAAAAAATTAATTTTAAATAAAAATAGACCAGTATGACCGATACGGTTTAATTGAAAATCGGCCGGTATAATCGGCTTTTACCAATTTTGATTAGTTTTTACCAGTATAATTATATAACCGGTATAATTATTGTATCGTATCGGTATCGAAACTGATTCACCAGTTTAACTGTCCGATACGAATAGTTTTAATAACTATGCTTCTAAAGAATAATTTCCATAACTATTTTTACAAAATAACAGTAAAGGTGAAAGACATACAAGGAGTTTTGGGCTTCTGTTTAAAAAAAATATTCCAGACCCAAAAGTATTTACCTTAACCTAACCTAACCCTATAAAAAGCCTCACAGAACACGAGAACAGCCACAAAGGCCAGGCTCGCCGCTCACTGCCACATTTCCACGGTGTCGCCTCCCACTACGGCAGAGGTAGCAATCACCGAAGAGGGTCCCATTTTTACTGTCATCAGTTTCCTTCTTTTGCTTTGTGTTTTCGTTTATTATTATTTCTTATTTACTTTTATTGCTTTTGTTTGTTTTTATTTCTTATTTATTATTAATTCATGTTTCTTGCATTCTACAATTTTATTTTACTTCAGGATTCACTTACTCTAATATATCTTAGCCATTGGACAAATTCAATAGTTTGAATTAGCGACTCACTAAGATGTGGACTAAGTTTAAAAAACTTATTCTTGAAGTCAATGATCCATCTTTTTTTATTTGTGTTTGACATATAATGATTTCTCTCATTGTTTAGAGAAAACAAATTACCTGAGATAACTGCACTGAACGAGAGAATGGAGAAAACTTTTATACCTTTGTCTAAGGAGAATGAGGGTCCTTCACCACTTGAGATGAGCCTAGAAGAACAGAAGAAGATCTTAGAAGCGCAATTAGAGGAAGCAAGAGAGAAGATTGAGAAATATAAATTAACCATTCAAAATCTCAACAAAAGTAAGAAAAATCTTAGGAAAAACGTGGCTGCCATAAAAAGATTGATTAGAGAAGAGAAAGCTGACCTAGAAAGAATGATTAGAGAAGATAAGCAGAAGATGATGAGATGTCACATGCAAAGGAACAACTCAAAGCAGTAGAGTTAGCCATGAGGATGGCTCGGGATCAGGCTCGTGCTGATATTCGCTGTATATACTTGTGGGTCTTTGGGTATTTAAGGAATCTGTAATTTATGCACCGTACAATCTTAATTTAGTAAAATAATTTTATATGAAAAATTGGGAGTGATTTATGTATCATACAATTATAAAATATAATTTAAAGTTTTAAACGTAATTTAATTTGACTACTAAATATAACTCATTTTACTGAAACAGACATAAAAAGCAATTTGAACACCAAGATGAAGAATTTATCTAGTAAGAAATCTTCAATCAACGTAACATTATATCATACAATCATGAATAGTTAAGATTAAAAGTTAGTTACTAGTCACATGATAGTCATGTGCATATATCATTTAATTTTGATCTCAGATAAGATTCAATTGTTCATATTAATTATTATCATCTATCATAACAGCACATTGTTTTCACGTGAAACTCCCTAACAACATAAGCAACATAACATCTAGACATGTCAAAACGGGCTATCCGGACGGATTCGAGCTAGCCCACTTTTGGTTCGGGCTTAAGTAAGTCGGGCTAAAAATCCTGGTTAGATTTTATGTCTCTTAAATTGTAGTCCATGTATACCCAAAGCGGGCTATGGGTTGTGGCGGTCTAACCCTGATAAATTTTTATTACATTTAAATAACTTAAATAGCATTTTACAACCTATTTACACACAAAAACTTATAATAAAGTAAACAATTGTGACTTTTTCTAGAAGATTAGATGGATGAACATATTTGGATCAAACTTATAATATAATAAAGTAAACAATTGTAACTTTTTTACAAATGTTGTGAAAACCGAGTCGACGTCAAGCCGGAAGAGCTTCCGTATTAGGTCTAATCGGTTTAACCAGTTAAATCGTCCGGTCGGACCGAGTGATTTTAAATATAATTAATAATTTTTATTTATAAATATTTAATTATATATAAATGTAAATTTTTATATAATTAATAATTTTGTATAACTATATTAAAGTAACATCTATTTATTTTTTTTGGACTGAAATAAAACAAAATATTAGAGTAATGTTCCAGTTTTTTAAGTTTAAGTGAACCATCCGATTTCCCCCGCGTTATTCCGGTTTAACCGGGTTTAGCACGGTCGAACCGGAATTTCTCCGGTTCAAAGCGGTCTAACTACTCATTCGGTTAAGACTTCAAAACGGAGTCGTTTTCAAGTCCGGTCAGCGATCGAACCGGTCGGACCATCCAGTCCGGTTATCACAACACTATTTTTTACAACCTATTTTCATGAAGGATTAAACTTATAGACGTAAGCTCTTTCCGCAGGGATCCCAATCCCTTACATAGAGTAAATCTCCATATTTGGATCATTTGGTAATTTGAAGTGGTAAGACAGAAAATAAATAACAACACAAACCACAAACAAATATAATAGAAACAATGATTTTTCAACTATATCCTAATAGGACATTATATATAATAGCAAAAACATATCACTAATCCAGGTAATAAAATAACTGCATAGTAGGTAAGTGTTACAAATGGTGAGCTTCTTTTCTGCAACTTATACAAAATGTTCAGAGGCTTTTGATGAATTAAAAAACACTAGAAAGTAGAAAACACATAGACTGAACATAATCAACATTCCTTTTCTCATTCATTAGATTGAACAGTTGAGTCTAAACTCTATTGAGAAAGTTTTACATCTTCAATATTAATGTCATCTCGCTCATCAACATCTTTTTCATTATCATATTCTACAATAAAAAATTAACTATGTTAATAAAATTGAATGATTAATTTAAACTGTATAGGAGAACTTGAACTTAAAAAAACTTACCAACAAAACAATACAACCAACTATGTGTGCACAAGAGAGTTTGAAATGTTTCATCATTTAAAGAACTTCTATACTTGTTCAAAGCTCGAGCACTAATGCTAAAAGCATATTCCGGTGCAACTGTAGTTATTGGAATGCTTAATATGTCACAATCCATCTTTGAAAGAGTAGGACATGCACGACTTCTATCATTTCAATAAGATAAATATCAAAACGCACATTTTGTAGAATTTGTTTTGTGTCTAGCTCCAAATAAATATAAAGTTCATTTTTCCACGAGAGGTCGTTCTCTTTGTGTTCTTATGTTGTTCAAACTACAAAATAAATAGTCAAATTTATTAAACTATACATGTAGAGAAAGAATATAAAATGAAATAGTTATACAAAATATTTAAAATCAACTTACGCGGGCTTGGTATAAGGGTACTTGAAACGTCTTTCCTTTTCCTCCTCCTAATGAATATGAAGCTTGCACTTGTGAATGAATCTCATTGGATTGGTCATCCTTGTTGACATACCCATAATAAAGTATAGAAATTCATTTTGAGATGATTCACCTTCTCCACATAAAATGGGTCAACTTCTTCTTATAAACATTGCACACAGTCAAGTTTTTTAGAAGAATCAAGAATAGCCGACTCCAACGCTCACCAAGGTAAGGGATAAGTATTTCTAACTCATATGAGCTGAGGTGAATGAGGTATGTGAAAGAGGTAATAGGTTTGTAAGAATATTGTTGTTACCCTACCCGAAGTGGTAGTGGTTTATTATTGTTATCCTACCCGTAGTGGTAGTGGTTTATTGTTGTTATCCTACCCGTAGAGGTAGTGGTTTATTGTTGTTATCCTACCCGGAGTGGTAGTGGATTATTGTTGTATAGACCTGCCCAATGTGGTATGGAGAATGAACTAGACCTGCCCGATGTGGTATGGAGAATGAACTAGACCTGCCCGATGTGGTATGGAGAATGAACTAGACCTGCCCGATGTGGTATGGAGAATGAACTAGACCTGCCCGATGTGGTATGGAGAATTAACTAGACCTATCCGATGTGGTAGAAGATTATCTTTGTGGGAAAACTCGGTGAATATGAATGATGAGAAATGAGTATATTGGAATGAAAGGAATATGCATGTTATAGAATATATATTATGGGATATATATACTATAGGGTGAATATGAATAATGAGAAATGAGTATATTGGAATGAAGGTAATATGCATGCTATAGAATATATATTGTGGGATATATATACTATAGGGTGAATATGAATGATGAGAAATGAGTATGTTTGGATGAAAGAAATATGCATGCTATAGAATATATATTATGAGATATATATACTATATGGTGAGTATGAATAACCTGAAAATGGAAGGAAGGAGATACTTATGTTTATATTTATGTGCTTATGATGATAAATTATGTCAATGTTTATTTATACTTAAAATGTGGATTATCATGTAATGTTAGTCTTGAACTAATGACTTACTCCCTTGTATTTGTGTGTTGTTTATGATAATCTCATTGTATATAAACGAAGGATTTTGAGGAGAATGCTCACTTAGGAATTTTATGCGTTTCCTAACTTAGATCCCTTTATCTATACTTTGGTATTATAGTTGACTAAACAATATTTTGGGATGAATGTAATTTTTGATTATGGTAACACTGGAGAAGTGTAGTTATGGGCATTATTATTCTTGGAAACCCATAACTAGTTGTATGCGGTAGGTACTAAGGATTAATTGAATGAATTATGTTTTTCTGCATTATGAAATATATGATAATATAACAGGATAAAAAGGTGGTTTTACGGAATGATTAATGAGAGATTAAAGTAAGATGATGAATGTATGCATGAAAGGATTATAATAAATGAAAAATTTTCAAGGGTAGAATTTGGGTCTTTACAATACAGTATCAAAGCATATGTCAACTCTGCGGCCTAGGGTATGGCTTGCATGCTTCTTTGTATGACTTATGTGAATTGTTTGTTGATTTTGGTGATTGAATTGTGTTGGTTAGTATAAACTGATGTGTGATTATGTGACCCTTGCCGGTTGAAGATTTGGTTTACTGACAAGTTAATGAGCATAGGTACACATGGCTAGTAGAGGAAGCGGAACTAGTCAGAATGTCTCAAATGATCTTTTGGCTCAGATGGTAGCTGCATTGCAACAAGTTAATGAGAATTTGCAGAGACTGAATCAGAACGCATCGCCCAGTCCGAGTTCAGACCCTTTAGTCCCACCTGGACCGGCCGAGTACCGGGGATTGGATGAGTTCTGTAAACAGAAGCCTAAACAGTTCCAAGGGGATTCGCTCCGGATGCTGCAAGTTAAGGTTCAGAGCTTGGAGAGGACATTCTGAGCCATGGGTTGTGGCGATGTTCAAAGGGTAACATATGCTTCTTATATGCTGGCAAATGAAGCTGAAAACTGGTGGGAGATGACCCGACGCCAAATGGAAACGGAGGGTCAAGTGATTGTCTGGGGTACCTTCAAAGAGAAGTTTCATCAGAAATATTTTCCCGCTGATCTAAAAAGGAAGAAAGAGATGGAATTTCTGAGGTTGGAACAGGGAGACATGTCGGTGGGGGAATATGCGGCTAAGTTCGAGGAATTGGCCCGATTTTGTCTCTACTCTGAGTTGGAAGTGGACGGACGGTCCAATTGCTTTAAATTTGAATCGGGCTTAAGGCCCAAGCTGAAAAGGATGTTCGGACATCAAGAGATTGCGGATTTTGCTACTTTGGTCAACAAGTGCAGGATGTACGAGGATAACTTGAAGGCGTATGAGGTGACGACACCCAAATCAATTTTCCCCCGGAACTATGGACCTCAACGCAACCATATGCAGGGGAGGGGTAAAGAGAGAGTGGAGGATGATCGAAAACCTTATGCGACACCTACTAGACATCGTGACAGAAATTTCCAAGGGTCAAGACCACCTACCGTTCCTACCGGAGGGGTTTCTATTCCCATGTGCAACAAATGTGGCAGACTCCATTATGGGAGCACATGCCCGGGATCGGGAAATGGATGTTTCCACTGCAAGGAGTTGGGGCACATTAAAAGGTTTTGTCCCAAGCTAGATCGAAGACTTAATGTCATTCATGCTGAGAGGACAAGGGATCATGGTCGAGTGACTACCCCGAGTGGTGTAGGGACATCAGGTGTTGATGATCCGGTTAAAGGTAATTGCATGGTGGCAGGTATTCCTTTTTTAGTGTTGTTTGATTCGGGAGCCAGACACTCCTCGTATTTGTTGAATGTGTGAACCGACTGAGATTGTACACAGATTCATTGTTTTCAACTTGGTCATATCCACCCTACTCAGTGTACCGGTGGTGGGTATCGAGATTGATGTCTCAGTGTACGGT